AGTTAATGTTAAAGAAAATTTTAAAGAAGAGTATGTGTTTAGTAGTTAATAGTCGTTTTTTTTTTTGTTGTTTTTTTAATACCCCCCCTTTGTACCATTTGTATCAGTGGAAGCACACGAAATTAGAACCTTCTCGATCTTCTTGAGAAGGTTGTAACGTTATAATGATCTGAGAGATTTTGTATATTTGATTATAGAGCCAGTGTGAGGCTTTTGGAGCAGTCGGTGACTCCCATTCTAATAGGATTCGTCTTCTGGCTACAAGAGTCGAAAAGGAGATAATGTCCAAGTCGTGTCTGTTATATTGGTTGGGTAGTATTCCAAATATAGTCAGATCAGCAGAAGGGGTCAAGGCAATTTCCAGACCATCTGCAAGGTGTTTGCAAATAGCTATCCAGAAATGTTTTAGTTGAGGACAATTCATACAAGTTTAACACACAAACTCTGCATATTTAAACTGAGTTCTGAGCTTTTTTGATTTTATTGATACAGATAACCATTATAAAACCTAAAATCGTCAGTACTAGGTGTGTTTGTGTGTATATATATATGTGTATATCTGTGTGTGTGTGTTTTATGCTCTGAACACTACACTCTCGTCTCATATTTTCCCACTGGCCTCTGTCCACTGGAGCAGCACCACAGGGGGGCAGCAGCGAGCGCCTGCAGCCTCACGGCCCCTGCTGGAGACTGCACACTGATATTATCTGTGTGATATCGACCATCAATCAAAATCTCTAAACCGTTTTTTTTTTATCTATTATATGGCAATAAAACATGTAAATCTATATTACATGGTGTCTATAATGCAAAATGAACTAGCTCATAGCAGACCTGGAGTTGTGTTTTGTTTCATTTAAATGTTTGAGTAATCTTTTATTATTAGTCTGTCTATATTTCCAAAGCTCAAAATGCCTTAATTTTCAACATAACATCTACCTTTTAGCTTTAAAAATCAGATTGGCTATTAAAATCCAAATGATTCTAGTGAAGGTGTATGGAGTTTAAAAATACAATGGAGCACTTCCTGTATTACCACATGACATCACAAGGTGGAACAGTGTGTTTTCTTTTTGCGAGAAGCCTAAATATTAAGGCTGAAGGATCTATTGTTTTGCACAATCTCAGACAACATGATTTTGGAGGCGTCAAAGCCGTGGGTTTTTGCAGTGCTCCTAAAGCTCAGTTTATGGATTTATTAATCTGCATTGACGTCTATGGACCACAAAATAATTCACCGCTAAAATGTGAGGAGGCAACGATTTCAACCAGGCGTTCGTGTAAAGTTTAACATGGACCATCTCCAACACGACAGAAGCACAGAACAGCCTCACCATCATCAGCACATCCTCTGTCACAGGAAGAACACTCATAGGCTGCGTTCAGACTGCAGCCTGAAGTGACCCAAATCTGATTTTTTGGCCTCTATGTGACCTGTATCTGATCTTTTAAAGACAGTCTGAACGACACAGATCTGATTTTTTCAAATGTGACCCAGGACAATTGGATTTGTGCTCCTAAAACCAATACATATTCGATCTTTTGACATGCGACTTCAGTCTGAACGGCCAAAGCACATTCATCCGACCTACACGTTATAAACAAGCCACAAACGTCACTATTCTGCGCTGAAGTAGGTGAAAATTGTTAATGAACTCAGTGTCACTGAAGCGAAGCACATCACCACTCACCACTCTTGGCTACGTCTCCACATCCACACGTTCCTTTCAACGGACGTCGCTGCCGCTGCCCCACAAAACACCACGGCCAAAAACCTCGTCCTTCTCAATCTCCTCTTTAAAACAAGTAAGTTGTTCATGTTCTGGCTCCGGTACGAGAGGAACTTTAAAATCTCCAGGTGCGCTCACGTCCATGTTTGGACAACTTCCGTAAACACAGAGCACGCTCGCTGCGGTTGACGTCGTCGTGTCTCCAGTGCACATGCGGGACACATTTGGGCTGTTTAATGTTCACACTGGAGTCACATACAAGTCACATTTAATTGGAAATGTGAACGACCTCGCAAAAACATCGGATTTCACAAAAAAATCAGAACTGAGCGTTAAGCCCTGCAGTCTGAACGTAGCCATATTTTCCTTTAGTCTGACAGATGCTGAACCACATCAGCGCACAAGAAGTGAGCTGGGTTTTTTTTTCAGCGCTTATAGTTTATGTAAATTAGCCATGTAGTTTTAAGTTAAGTATGTGTAAAACGTAAACAAATGTGTGCAAAGCTGCATTAAACACATTATTACTCAATGTACACTGAAAGAAAGGAAAGCGAAGTACAGGAAATGTAGAGTGGTAGTAGAGAGGACCAAACACAGCCTTGATTGTGTACGTCGCTTCCCCTGCTGTCTGCATCATTTTGACATGTAGTTTTTAAACTTCGGAGGTGCACGTCGGTCGACACAGACTCTCTGCATGGTAAGACAGACAGTTTGACGCTGGACCGTAAACTGGGCTTTAAGGTCCAGCATCAAATCGTCGCTGCAGGACTCCGGTATGATGTAAGTTTCTGATGTTTGCAAATGTTCATGAGCACTGATTTGAAAAAAAATCACGGATGAAATCGCAATATCTGCCAGAAAAATTGCAGTTTAATTTTTTCTTAAAATCGTTCAGCCTTACGAAACATGCGGGGTTTGTGTGTTAAACGTGTGTGAATGAAACAAAACACAACTCCAGGTGTGTTTAAGATGAGGAAACAACATTAGAACACAGATCAGGTCCATGAATTACACAGACAATTAACCACAAAATAAAATTAAAGTAATCAGCATTTGCACAATTAATATGCAATATACTGTATTATAACAATCGTTAGTTTATAGTTTATTCTTCACTGTAATAGCAAAACAATATGCGTCTTTAAAAATAAGGATTAAATCAGTATAATGTACATCTTTATTCATCCAGGGTCAAAACTCTGCTCTTTACAGACACATGATTGGCCGATATATAAGATCAGGACATGATACAAGTTTGGGTCCACAAGAACGAGAGAAAACAAGATTTTAACATAATTATTAATATATAAATTGCATGATCCAGTTTCCAATTTTGGCTTCACCATTTTTATTTATTTGATTTCATAATTTTGTTTCTGTTCTAGCACTGGTTTTTGGAACTGTTAAAGAGATGTGACTCACCAACATGTCCCACCCTATTTTTGTGCGATCCAAATGTAAACACTCACACGATCATTTTTCTCATGTTTGCACGATCTTGTCCCATCCATACCGATAGACAAATGTTGATTAAAAAGCCCCAAACTGATCACGGACGATTTCAAAAAGTAAAAGGTCATTTCCTGGCGCATTCATTCATTCATCCACAGAAGAGCATCTGATTGTCACAGATGTAAACACAGGCTGCAGCGGTGAGACCACAGACAGGTCAGAGTCACACAGACTGACCACAAAGTACAGGTCATTACAGCTCTGTGGAGACAACATGATGTAAGACAAAGGTCAACGCGGCACCGGAAAAACACACAAACGCTTAAAATATGTCACTGAATTATCATAATCCACAATTTCAACCAAAAAGGGTTTGAAAACACAGCAATAAAACATGAAACTGGAAGTAATACAACATTTATGAAGACTGTATTTCATCACTTTATCCTGGCTTTTGTTAAAATTCTGTCACTGTCAGCCAATCACGGTGTCTCCAACAAAAACACCCACTGATGCACTCTTACTATCACCGTACAAGTGTCTACAGCAGGAGTTTCCAACATTTTTCCTCTGGTGAGCTGCCTTTACAAAACAAAAATGCAAGAGAGCTACTCCTTTTAGCCGTCACAAGGAATTTAGTAAATATAAGAGTCTTAAATGGGGTTTGATGGCAATAAAACCTTTACACAACTATTATCTATTTATTAGTGCACAAAGACAGTCATCACATTTACAATGGTAATAAGCGTTTCATTAAATCAAATACGAGTTATTCAGAACAATATGTATGATTCAGGAATCTCTAGGTGAGATACTTGGAAGGGGGTGGAGAGCTACTGTAGACAGTGTTGGGGAGTAACAGATTAGAGTACAAATTATGAGTAACTGTATTCAGTTACAGTTACTGTTTCAGTGAGTGGTAATTGGATTACAGTTACTTTGTTGAAATAAATGGATTAGATGGTGGTATTTTCCTGTTTTCCTGTTTTCACATTTCGGGCTCACTTTCCATTTAAAATCCTTATGGCAGAAGGAATAAAAGATTTGGCGTAACAGTTAGTCTTTTGCTGTGGGGTGACATAGCGCCTCCCAGAGGGCATTTTCATGAATTGTGAGTGCAGTACATGGTTAGTCTGGTTCAGTGTGGCCTTCGTCTTTTGTAACACCCGATGTCTCCACACAGAGACCAAATCCTCCGTCTGAACACCACTGATTTTGCTGCACACTTTTACTATCTGGTTCAGACTTTTCTTGTCCTTCACAGATAATCCATAAAACCAACAAATAAAAGAAAAGGTCAGCAAACTTTCAATAAAAGAATGATAAAAATTATTTAAAATGTTACATGACACATTAAAAGAGCTGAGCTTCCGCTTCAAGTGAACCTGCTGTCGTCCTCGTTTGATGATTTGCTCAGTGTTACTATCAAACCATAAAGACGAATCAAGCACAGCTCCCAAGTACTTATAAGAGTCGACCATTTCTACTGCTTCCTCATGGATGGAGCTGGCTATTGGGCTGTGGACTTTTTTCCGGACGTCTACAACCATTTCTTTGGTTTTAGCTACATTTAGGTCCAGGTGGTTAAGAACCCAAACACCAAATTATAACATAAACAGATTGGCCGTCATCTCCAATGTTTTTGTAATTAAGAATAAATCAGCTTTACAAGAACATTATTTAATTCAACCATGTTTACCTCTTACCCGGGGACACGCACAGGTCATGTTTATGAAATTTCAAACCAAAGTCAAAGTCCTCTTTTATTTAAGCAGAGGACGGGCGTTACTGTATGTGTGTAGGGCTCCGGTGCTGTACCTTTGTCGAGAGAAGCGTCTGGGGAGTGGAAGTCCATCAAACTGCTGACTTCACTTTTGTAGCAGAGGTCAGTGCTGGGCGCCTTCTGCCGGTGGTGAGGAGACGGCTCTGGAAAACACAAAGCAACAGAAGATTGGAATGAAAATACATAATAACAGAAGACTGGAAGTACAGCTGGTGATATGAAAACAACAACGCTGTCACTATTTACACAAACAGTTTAGTTTTGACATGGTTTTAATTCATTTTTTAATTTGTTTTCATGACGTTTTATTATGGATTCTAACTGGAGGCACCAAAACTAAAAAGTCAAATAACACCCTTTGCTTTGATCACTGCTTTGCACCCTCAAGGACGAGGGTTTATAGTAAAGCAAAGGGTGTCTACTTTGAGGAATCAGACTATAACATATAAAACACAGGTGTCAAACATAAGGCCCGGGGGCCAGATCCGGCCCTCCAAGATCTTTAATGTGGCCCTTGGGTGATTTTCTACTAAAATATTTAAATTATATTTTCTATTAAAATATTGTTAATTTTCTGCGGTGCTGAGCAGAGCAGCGTCTCCAGCGTCTCTGTACGTGGCCCCTCCCACCAGAGCAGCACAAATGAAGACTTGTCTCTTTCCAAACGCTCTTAAAGGACGATCGTTTTGACTGTTGACTGTAACACCCTCATCAGAAAAATGTCAAAAATGAGAAAAGTGGAGCTGAGTGCAGGATTTTCCAAGAAAAATTGACTTATTCCTATTTGCATACAAGTTAATGTTAAAACATTGTGTTGAAATTGAATTTTTCTTAAAGTTTCAGGTTGTTCATAATATTATAATATTATAATAAGAAAGAGTTCATCAATTAAAAAAGATTTCTATAATAGATTTGCATTTCTCTGCACAAATATGTGAACTTATTGTTATTTTTGGGGTATATATGACCATGAGTTTTTCTGATCCGGCCCCTTTGGGATCAAAGTAGGTTGGATACGGCCCCCGGACCAAAATGAGTTTGACACCCCTGATATAAAACGTTAATTTCTTTAAAGGGTCCATATTACACTACTTTCTGATCTATGTTATAATGTTTTTTCCTCATCACAAACAGACCTGAAGTTGTGTTTTGTTCCATTCACACATTTTAACACACAAATCCTGCATATTTAGGCTGAGTTCTTCTCTCAGACTGAAAACACTCCATTCCACCTTGTGATGTCATGTGGTAATACAAGAAGGAAGTGTGTGTCCACTGTGTTTTTAAACTCCATACACCTTCACGAAAATCATTTGGATCATTGTCAGTCTCTACCAAACTAAAGCTACATTTACACATAGCCGGGTTTGTTGAGAAACGAACAATTCCTTCCCTCCGTTTCCCAAAATAAAATCGCGCACACAGCAATGTTTTCAAAAAAGTTTTCGTTTACACATAAATACACCATCGAGCGCCGTCATAACTACGCCAAGTCTCTGGGCGGCACCTGGATTAGACTCAAACCTGTAGCATTTATTTCATTACAGTTGTAAATATTACTCAAAAAAACCTTGAAGAACGTGCATTACTGAGCGGACTCGCCTCTCCACAGATCTGTTGTGGTAAGAAGTGGTAAAATGTCTGACCTCCGAGCCTCATTTGTCTCTGGTCCTGGATATGAAACATCACCTGTGTGTATAAATGCAAAAACATAAAAAGTGTTTGACCAGAAGAAATGCGACTGCTGCTCTGAATCCTCCATCATCATCCTCAGAGCACAAGGTTAAAATTTGTCGCTCTTTTGGCGCGTCAGCTACTAAAATTCCTTTTATCTCAATTTACACATAAACACAAAACTGTACTTTTCCAGAATTTCCACTCCGGAGTTTTTAGAAAGATTCGTTTTCAGAAGCAAGTTCGCTGTTTGCGCGTAAAAGATGAGCACAAACGAAGGGAAATGTCTCTGTTTTAAAAAATACCCGTGAACATGTAAAGGTAAAACTAGCTGTAAACTCGAAAACAAAGTGAAAAAATGCATAGCACGCTCAGATACCCGATGTCCAAAAGCTTTTTTATTTTTTAAAATAATGTTTCAGCAAAAAAAAAAAGCCTTCATCAGATATTTCTTGCTTTGTACCACAGTGCACAGAACTTGAAAACTACCATTAGATGACATCACAAGGTGGAACGGAGCATTATTTGAGTTTTGGAGATGTAGATTAATGTAGACTAATGATTACTCAAACATGTGTGAATGAAACAAAACACAACTCCAGGTCTGTTTTTGAGGAGGTAACAACATTATAACATGACTTAAAGCTCACAGTGTATTGTGATGTAAATGTAAAAAATAAATATTAACATGTACATGGTCAGTGTGTGTGTGTGTGTGTGTGTGTGTGTGTGCGTGTGTGTGTGTGTGTGTGTGTGTGTGTGTGTGTGTGTGTGTGTGTGTGGATGAACATTGACATATATTGTATTGTGTTCTGTAAAAGATTTAAGTACATATTTTTTCCTGCACTCATAAAAGATGAGTTTTGTGGGGGGGGTTTCTGCAAATTGTTCTGTCATCTTGTTTTCTGTTCTACATGTTAATAAAAATTAGTGTTAAACTTCTGCCTAAACCCCTTCGGTCTATAGAATAACTTTAGAGTTACACATAAAATAAAATTTTATAAAAAATTTTGTGTTAAATCATTGTCATATGATGTATGATTATGTCAATTGACCAAAGAAAATAAACTAACAAACAAGAGTCAGTTTTGTGTATTATTGGACCTTTAACATAAATAATACATATTTTTAGTAACTGATATTTAACAGAAAGAAAATTTTATGGTAACACTTTATAATAACTACACATTATTTAGCCTTAATAAAGCATGAACAAAGACTTAATTAATAATGATTCACGCTTAGTAAATGTTTAATAAAGGATAATTAGTCTTCACTTTAGAAAAGCTCTCAAAAAGACTTAACTAACAGATAACAGCTGCCTGAATTATAATTGCACTTGCATTATTAGTAAATCATTTTCTCATAGTTTACTAATCATTAATAAATGCTCAGATGGTTACTTCATGAGTAATTAAGTATGAAATAATTATGAATAACTATTTACAGCACAGGCAAATTAAGTGCAAGTGCTAATTAAGGTAGTAATTAAGTAGTTACCAAGCGTGAATCATTATTAATTAAGTCTTTGTTCATTCTTAATTAAGCCTTTGTTCATGCTTTATTAAGGCTAACTACACCTGTACCTTATTATAAAGTGTTACCAATTTTATATTTCCGAACTCCACTCCAACCCACCAAGATCAACTTTTCCGGTGAATGGTCTGTTAAATGCTTTTCTCCATGGAGATGTTATTTGCCTTTTGTCTGGAATGTTTCACAGTGTGGCATTAAACCTTTCTATCTTCATGGAGACCAAACCAGACCAAGTTATAGGTCAGATCTGTGGAGAAGCGACCCCACTCACAGTCAGAATGTCTGTTTTTCTAGCAATTTTTGACCTGTAATTGAATAAATGTAAGGTAGAGCTGTTTAATGTCACACTGTGGAACATTTTAGACAGAGCAATGACGTATCCATAGAAACAAAAAGTGAAACATCTCGCGAAACAAAACAAAACAAAAAGCGAAGCGCCGACGGAGAACAGCAGACAAAAGATAAAAAAAAACAAAAAACAAAACCACTCTCTATAATAAAATTTAACTTCTCAATATTCATAGCTGTCGTAACATTGCGGAGTCTGGGGATAAAACGAAATGAAGTCACGACACGCAGACTCCCGAACACATCAGATGCCTTCAGGGACTCTATAGATATGCACGTAAATATTAGCATTTTTATGACATAGCGGCCATTTTGGCTCTTTGCAAGCTTCACTGGTTTTTAATGCACTTCTCTATCAGCGCGGCCTTGAGAGCAGATGCAGTGCGGTTGGTGAGGGAGTTTTTATGTAGACTGTGTACACTGTGACGTCCGTTTATGCAAGTTACAGAGACAAGAGCTGTTTTTGGAATGAGTTTTAAACGCAGATGACTCGATGACAACTTAAAAGTTGTATGGAGGATTTTTTTTTTTAGTTTCAAATTGTCATTGAAAGTTTAAAACACCATTACAGAGACACAGCAGCCTTGTAATTATGATGACCAGAAAAAAAAAGAATGAAAATCTATCAACTGTGGACATAATGAGGCCAGATCAACATCAGAAAACGAGGCTCCCTCATTTTCTATTGGCTGTTAGGTTGTCAATTAAACTCCCCAGTGTAACTGACTCGCGGAGCGCAGGGATTATGTGGTTTATGCAGCGGTTCTTAGAGGCTTTTTCAAACTGTCGCTTCCTCGCATTTCGCACAAAGTTTGTTGCGATGGCAGACGGGAATCCACGTCCAGTTCGCTGCAAAAGAAAGTCAGTTTTTGAGGTCGCTGAAAGAAGAAGAGAAGGGAAAAACAAGTGAAGACAAACTGAGGTGATTCTTGGAGATTCCTTCCAGCGATGGCGCGACTGAAGCAGACGAAGGGTCTAAAAACTGACACGTCGGTCGCTAAATTACTTCTAGACGGGTCACTTCAATAATAATTCTGAACGCTCACTGGCTGTAAACAAGCGTGATTTCTAGAGTAAGGAGGCGGAAGAGGTGTTTCTACTGAGGGAGCTGGGGAGGAGGAAGGTGGTGTTGGTCCATTTGAAACTGGACTGCCACTGTATTTCACTTCCCTTAAAAAATCCTCTATACAACCTTTAAGTTAATACGATTATATTAAAGGGCCCGTATTACGCTATTTTCTGAGCTATGGTATAATGTTGTTTCCTCATCACAAACAGCAGACCCGGAGTTGGGTTTAGTTTCATTCACACGTCACAAACAAACCTGCATATTTAGACACTGTTCCACTTTGTCATTTAACGTGGTAATACAGGAAGTGCTCCACTGTGTTATGTCCAATATTAAGCAAATTTGACTCTTACGAGCTTTAAGTCATGTTATATGTTATGCTGTTACATTCTCAAAAATGTGCTTGGAGTTCTGTTTTGTTTGATTCACACATGTCTGAGTAATCCTTTCGTAATTAGTCTATCTACATCTCCAAAGCTCAAAATGCTTATAGTGATTGTTTATAGTGATGTTTTT